AGCAAGCGCTGTAGGCTTTAATCACTCACATGTAGAATGACTCCTTTCTCCAGCAGGCTCTGTTTTTTGGCAGTCATCACAAAGTAATGCGTGTCATCCTTGTAATAGACGATATTTTCCAGGTCAATGCCTAAAATGACCAACAGAAAGATGTAGTGTTACATAACAAACACAATCATTTTCCTTTTTAACTGAGCCGACAATCCTGATGTCATTTGAGCACAAGAGCAGCAATTATGCCTTTCAAAGCACATAAGCAGAGCCTCGGGGACATTGTCATGTCAGCGGCAAACTGTGGCCGGCTTGGCGTCAAACCTAAGTATTTTAATTGAGTGCGCTGACGAATTTTTATCTATGATCAGAGCGCAGATTATGCTTCTGCTAGCTTCAGATCTTGCAGTTACCAGTAACAACAACAACAACAAAAGTACATGTTTTATGTTTTATGTAGTATCCGGAATTCTTCAACTGCATCATAACTGTTACACAGACAAAAAGTAATGGAGGAGAATGGAGCCGTGACAGACCGGTTGCTTCTCTGAGGTCTTGAAAGAACTTCTGATTGAAGATGAAGGCCACACCGCTGATCTCTTCGACTTTTGCCTCTGCCGTCGTGTTCCTGTTAATGAAGTTAGCAGTGATGGCGATGGCGAGCTTTCCCCGGAACTCCTTGCGCCGAAACCCTACAGAAAAGCACGGATGATTGAGGAAGGCCTCAAGGTTAGAAACCGGTAACTGTTCACTCCGTTAGTGACGTAAAAGAACATAAATTAGAAATGTTAAAAATCACAAAATAAGCTCAACAAATATATATTTGCTACTAGAATCCTTTTAAGCGCATACAATACATAGAATATCTAGAAGCATCTACAATTTCATGACATCGTCTGTCCTGCAGACCGCTAGGGCTGCTCGATTATGGCAAAAATGATAATCACGATTATTTTCACTGAAATTGAGATCTCGATTATTTGACCATATTTATTTAACAATAACAATGTATTGAATAATGACTTTAAAGATTGTCAAAAAAATAATATAAAATAGTGTGCAAATACTGATAACAGTGCAAATTAGGGCTGGGCCATATCATACCGTTCATGGTGATACCGGTATAATTTTGGGCAACAATAGAAAAATGAAATATCGCGATAGAATATGGGTAAAACGCGCATGCGCAGTGCCGTTGTTTTCATACACACACATCAGAAAAAGAATGGCAGCGAAAGCGGATCGTTGAATGAAACGGATGAACCAGAATTGGTTTGTAAAAATGCTGCAACTTCAGTGGTGTGGAACTGGTTTAGCTTT